GCAACACGTTGGATGAACACATTCAGAGAACTATCCATAATGACTCCAAGATTTCTTTCTTGAATGATGACTGCTAATTTAGACCCCATTATTTTATATATGTATTGTTGGGATTTCCTCCACCATTCCAACCATTTTGCATGGAGTTCAAATGTGATTGAAGGCATTTGATTCTCTTTGTGGTCACGTTGGAAGGGCTACAGCATGGTCTTAATCTAAGAGACTCATAGATCCTCCCATCTCCTTATACAATATGCAAATGGAGTATGGGAGGGATGGGATATAATGAAAAACAGCGTGAATGATCTGTAAGGTTCAACATAGAGCATGTTAGTTCTGTGATGTCTAGAAGAAGTTTTTTTTAGGGGGATATAGGAAATAAAAGGACAAGGCATGGTAGACCTCATCAAAGGGGGCATTCCAAGGCATAAGAGCATACATGGAAGAAGGCATGTGAACATGGGAGAGTGAAAAGAGATAAGTGATGCATGCTTCTGGCTAATCATCAGGAAAAAGCCTAGTGCAAATGTTTTGCATTGAATCCAGTAGATACTAATTTACCCAAGCTGAGAATTTAGCCGCCTGTAGTTAGAAGTGAATTTCATTTACAGATATTATTTATTACCTGGCTCTGTAGTAAGCTTTGTCCTGGGTCTACAGTATCCTTTGTCCCAGACAGCATGTACCCTGAGCTGCCTCTTTTGAACCACAAGCCTTTCAGTGGTTGAACTGCAGTCATTTGGTTTTTGATTCTTAACCCTTTTGTTTTTCATTTTGAAGTCTTAGGAACAATTGAAATATGTCCTTTCTCTCTTTCCTTGGAGTAATCATTCAGCGCGTGCACATCAGACAGGACATTGAGGATCTTGCCAAGAAACTGCTGCATATTGGGTGACAATTGTGCCAGTGCAAATCTCACTTTGTGTAGGCTGGTTTTTACAACCATAAGCAGGGTTTTCTCTCCGCTTCTTCTGATCAGTTAATGAATTGTTTCTCACGTTTTTGCCTTTTGTTAGACTTTGTCCAACATCCCTGCTTTGGCAGTTCAGAGACTAGTGTCATTCCCTCCTGTCAGCATATAGAAATGGGAAAAGATTGTGACTGTTGTATTATAGCGACAGCTTCTTACTGAACAAAATGGAAAAATCTGTGACACCAGCAAAATGGTAGTCACACTGTGGGGGGCGGGGGGAGGGGAAGGTTATTGGACCCCTTTATTGATAAATTTCTGTGTTCTTATGTCATTTAATCAATGCGGTGTTGTGCTGTTTTCATGCCTCGGTTTCCCTATATGTAGAATGAAGACAAGAATGCCTTTTTATAAAGCCCTTTGCAATCTGTGAATGTAAAGGGCTATAAAAGAGCTAAGTCTTATTTTATTATTGCAGTATTCAACCTTAAGTTCTGCTTTAGATAAGGTTACCTCAACATCTGGAGCATTACCTAATTTTCCTTATGCTTATTACAGAGAGTACCTAGATCATTAACTTTACTTCAATATATGTAGTATTCTATCTAAAACTATTGACAAGATTCAAAGGTTTCCAATATAGTTCATTGATGTTTTTAAAGCAGTTTAAACAGAAGTTGCTATGTAAATGTAGCAGCATCTATATTACTGCCTTTATTGATTGGGTATTGTGCTGAGAAATACTGTGCCTATTGATGTATTCCATTGTTATAGACAGAGTGAGGCCTTATCATCCTAGAGTCTTGCTTCGTATATAAAATCAAGTGCATTTTCTCTTCTTGCTCTTTTTCTTATTAACATGGATGGTCTAATAATATCATGCATATTATATGAGTATGTGCTGAGGGAGGAGGAGAATATAATTAATGCAACTAATAGCTTTAAAATATAAATTAAGGATAATTATAGTTTGAATGCAAAACCCTTTACAGCACATCCTATAATGAGGATTTTTGGTGTAACACCAAGTTAATAGAGGGAGTACTAATTTCTCTGCTGTACATGAAAGTAAAATGGAATAATGAGATTTCCTTGGAGGTCAATTTATTTTAAAGAAGTAGGGAATAAGGTCAGAAGAACATTTGAAAACTAAGCTGTCCTTTTGATTAACCAGTGTTTTCAGTATGCAAGAAAAGCATAGGGCAAAGCTAAAAAGCACTCATCTCATAGTCATTCCAAGCAGTCAGTTGCTTGTAATGCTCTGGGGGGATGAACAGGCATCACTTGACAATAAACTCTCAAACACCCACCACCTCAAATGGATTTTTGTCTTCTATAAAACATGTGACATTTTTCCCTTAAAAACAGCTACAGGCCCCCAGAAATAGAAACAAAGGCTCTGATCTTGCTAGCAAAAACCTTTGTAGCCAGTACGAATCCACAGGAGTACAAGGTCTGTACTAGTTGGTCAATTTGCAGGATCAGGTCCAAAGTGTGCAACTACATGGCTAAAGGATTCAAACTCCTTTACAGTGTGCTCCTTCTTTGTGGAAACCGTACTTCATTACAGGAACCCCCTGTATTTCTAGGTCTTAATGTTTAATTGGAAGTAAGTCGCTCATACTGGTCAAGGAGAATCAGTGGAGCCAGGGACTCTAAATAGGTTGCATTGCCCTAAGCAAAATAGAAAACTAGTTAAAGTGCATCCCTATGGAGCCATAGTCACTCACATGAAGAGTTAATGAATGTTCTGGCTTTTGTTATTTTGCTTCCCAGGTGATCTTTTCTGCCTACCTTGTAGAATCATTTGGTATGGGAGTTGTCCATCCAGTCACTAGACTCACTAAAGTAAATTCCTTCCTACTGAAAGTTTCTAGAAGTTATCAAACTTACCCCAGCATTTAATTTAATCTCCTATTTGTGTGCCCTGCATATTGCCTCAAGGCAAAACTTCAGTGCTCTGAAAGGAGCAGCTGTGCCAAAAGGAAGAATGATTTTGCCCTGCTCTGTTTGCGTTAATTTGAGATTGCTCTGTATCTCTTTACAATATCTTTGGCACCCAGGAAGAAATTGACTATAAATAGAATTTGTGCATGTCAGAGTTCATTATGGAAGAAATCCACTGCCTCTGCCCATTTATGCTAATGTAGTTCACATTAATAAATCCATGCCCTAAGGTGCAGATGGCTTTTTAAAAAAAACATTTAATTTGATTTTAATATGCTGTTTACGTATTTTTAAAGAACAACCTTTGGACTGACCATAGGCAACTGGCGAAGTTTTATTCTAACTTCCATTTGGTTGGATCACGTAGAATCATAGAACACTAGAACTGGAATGGACCTTGAAAGGTCACTGAGTCCAGTCCGCTGCCCTCATCGCAGGGCCAAGCACCGTCTAGACCATCTCTGATAGATGTGTCTCTAACCTGTTCTTAAATATCTCCAGAGATGGTGATTCCTCCGTAGGCAAGTTATTCCAATGTTTAACCACCCTGACAGGAAGTTTTTCCTAATTTCTAACTTAAACCTCCCTTGCTGAAGTTTAAGTCCATTGCTTCTTGTCCTAATAAACATTTTAGACTTCATCAGAGCTCCCTACATGCAGTTGTTGATTCTGTCCAAACTCACATACTTATTAAAATTTCATCTTTTGTAGTAAGAGAAAGAAGTCAGCTCCAGTGAGTCTCCAGCAAGATGTATCTTGTGATGCTTTTTAGAGCATTTAAAATATTTTGATACTATGGTTCAGCATGTAAAATACAGATTGTACTCCATTCTCCCCAGACAAGAGAGTCTTGTAAAGGAATAGCAAATACATATTTATGCTTTCTTCAGTTTTGGCATTTGTAGCCTATCTATATAGAGCTTTTCTATTTCTAAATGATTAGCTGTGTATTCAGCCTTATTAATCAGATTCCTAGCAACACAAAGGCACAATGGGAAAATAGAATTTATCATATTGTAATCCAGACTTTTTTTTAACCCCCCCGCCCCCCCCGAGCTCATCACACTTGACAAAAAAAATCTTGATTTTTGACAGGTCTGTAGTTATGCTGTTTGTCTAAATCATTTTCTGTAAATTTAAATCAGTACCACCAAATGTTGGATTAGGTATTGGAATCAGTAAGGATACATTTAGCATCATTATGGGTAATGAGAGCACATTGCAATCAAGCCTGATTCTTAGTAATGAACGCAGTTTCTAGTAATGCTGTACAGCTACAAAACTGAGGCCAAATACTGAAATGAGGATGATAATTTTAAGATAGTAGTGGGGTTTTTTTGTTTGTTTTGGGGTGTTTGGGGGTTTTTTTACTTCTTGCTATCATCCTTTGCACTATTGGGCAATGAGTGCTTCTGGGGGGTTGTGTTTGCTGAAGAACTTTTGACTATATGCATTTTTTACATACAGCTCTCTCTGTAAATTACTGAAGGATCTGCTTAGCAGCCAGTGTAGGCATGCCATGTTGTACTCATAAAAAGTCTTAACTCTTTTGAAACTGGCTGTTCTTGACGTGCTCTACATCTTCAGGTCTGGTTATTCTTCTTTTATGAAGTGGAGGGGAAAGCTAGACCTGTGGAGAGTCAATTCCTACATATCACATCTCCCCTCTGGTTCCCCAAGGGCTTGCACAAGAGACTTGACTTGTTTCCTACCTCATGTGGAGAAGCAGCAGCATGGGTGGCTCCAAGTGACAGTTCTAGGTCAGGTGCATATTTTACAGCATGGACCCTGAAGTAGCTCTGTCTCCAAATAGAGATTGTGGGCTGGGGAGATAAAACAACTGCAAAGTGGGGAAGCTTCGCTAGAACCAAATGTTCCTCTTCTGGCACTTGTGGGAATGTGGGATTGAAAGGAGAGGGAAGAAGTGGAAGGGTAAAGACGACAGAGAGCTGATGGTCTTATTTCAGGGACAGTAAAGAGAAGAGAGAGATGAGTCTGTTCTGTTCCCTCTTAGAATCGTAAGGTGAATATACTTATTCTTGAGGAAAGTATGGATTAAGGCTGTAGAACAGTAACACCAGGGTTACAGTACTAAGGAATATCACAACTGAGTGTTTCAATTATTTGCTCTTCTTTTAAATAGGTCAGAAATTGATATATTGTCTGCGAGCTCCGAAGGGATTCTGATTGGCTACTGCCCACAGCAAGATGCCCTGGATGAACTTCTAACTGGATGGGAGCATCTTTATTATTACTGCACTTTGCGTGGCGTTCCAAAACAATGTATCCCTAAGGTAAATAGCCATGATTTAGCTTTGCAATGGATAGAGAAGAGCAAGGCTGGGCCAAAGATTTACAGAACAGTTTCATTTTTTTGCACTGGAGAAAATACCGTTTGTCAGACATTTGTCTTTAACAGTTTTGGTCATCAGGAATCTCCTGCTACCCACTCAAAAATACTGATTTCTTGGAAGCTTTAAAAGTAGCATGATTTTCCTCTCATCCTGATATACCTAAAAGAGTAACTTCACTGACGTTATTGGAATTACACCAGTGTGAGAGCAATGCTTGGCCCACAAACTATAAAAGAATTAAAAGTTTTTGTGTGTAGCCTCTTCACTTTCAGGTCCTAGGCCGTCATTGTAGCTTCTTAGCAAAACAATTTCAACCCCAGAACTTGTTGTCAGACTGCAGGTGCTTGGATGATTCTCAACTATAAGGAAGGCCTTTAAGGCAGTTTTGCATTTGGACATAAACTAGAGCATTCTGGAGTTAGTCTAATCTGACCTGAGGTCATAGCAAAGTCCTCATGTAGCTCCAGGATTGAAGTTGGGAGATAAAGTTAGCAACAGTCACATTTCCTTCTTCACTTGAGCCCTGTGTATAGCAGGAGAGCTTGGCTGCATCTGAGAACACAGCTTACTGTCTTAACAAGGCACTCCCATGTAAACAGTACCAGGCACCATTTACAATATTTAATTAGAATTCAGCACCCAATCTTTTCCTTAGCTGTTCAGTGTTGTCAACTCACCTCATTAGTTATGGATTGAAGATGGCCAGAGCACTGCAAACATGAAGTTTTGTTCCTGTTGGTCTAAGGAATATATATTAAGAGATAATTGTTTTTGCATTAAGCCTCTTGGCTTTAATTACCTGTCATCTTCATACAGTGACAGTTCCACTCTTATGATCAGCTTTTAGCACAACTGTACTATCTGTCTGTTATCGTGGCATTTAATAGAGACGTGGATGGGAATAATTTCTGGCATGTCTCTTAGAGCTGAACATTCATTTGAGAAAATGTTGTTAATAGTCATAAGACTCACCTAAGTCATCAAGTATGTTTTGTTCATAAATGTACCTTAAAGCAGCAATCAAAGCTTGATAATTTAATTAGGCATCAAGTTCTTAAAATGCTGTGAAACATGGTTCTTAACACTTTCTGTACTGTAAAAAGCATGGATGACAATACATCCCTGTAATGGATGTCTCCGTGTAGCACAACATATATAATAAACCAAGGCCCTAATTCTGACAGTATGTAGCTGTGAAATGTAAATTTTCAGAAGTACCTAAAGGTGCGTCTACACAGCACAGTAATTTTGAAATAACGGCCGTTATTTCAAAATAACAATGCCAGCATCTACACAGCAATTCTGTTATTTCAAAATAAATTTGAAATAACGGATAGATTATTCCGACTTCAGTAAACCTCATTCCCCAGGGCCATTCAAAGTAGTTACTGCCTAGCGCCTCCCAGGGCTCTGAATCGAGGTAGCACTTCCACATTAGGAAAGCTTGACTTGGACTAATTTTGAGGCTGTAGTGTGGACATGCTATTTCGAAAAAAGCTATTTCAGAAAAAAAATTCCAATATAGCTTATTTCAAAATAAGCATGCTGCGTGTATGTACGTCAAGTGACTGAAGATACCCAGTATCAGATTTCCAAATGCAGTTGCATAAAAGAGGCATGCCCGGTTTTGTTGGGTATCAGGTAGGGGATGAACCTTAGAAAAGAAAGACAGTCCAGTTTCATGACAAATGTGTAGTCTGCCTACAGGCTGTTGTAAATAATATAGAATAACTGACCTTCAAGCTTTCCCCAAAACTCAAACTCAACCTAAACTTTTTTAGAAAAAAAAAAGATTTGGTGTGACTCTGACCTAGGTATGCTATGCCAACATGAACCTCCTGTCTCACACTCTTGTGTAGCATTGCAGTATGGTGTGAAACTGCTGTTAGGCTGCAACTCAGAAATGGCTAAATGTCAGGGATGAATGAAATGATCCCTCTAAAGTTGTATTTGAGAGTAAATTAGTAAAATATAATGCTTGTGAATCCTTGAGGATAGCGGTTTCTATGGAAATGTAAATTGTTGTTTTTGTCTATGCTGTGTTCTGGGCCATGCTCTGTGAGTGCTTACTGTTAAATGTTTGTGCTAACAAAAGAAGAGAGAGAATGTGCACTTGGGCACATAGTTGTTTGATTGGAAGGTAATCTGAGTTAATTTTGTTTTTTTTCATTGAGTTGGCAAGCGAGTAGATGACTTACGGTATGCACTGCTGCATAAGTAAATATAATCTATTAAAGCAATATCTTCAAGGATCTGATTCTTCACTAGAAACAGATTTGGCAGCAACAGGAATTAAAGACCTGCTGTAATGTTGAGTGCTTTTAATGTTCCAAAACAGTAATTAACTGAATGGGAAAGGATGAGAATATGGGTCATTTGTTATCAGTGTGAAACTTTATATCAAATGAAGTTTTAATCTGTTTTTTAAAGCAAACCTAGAAGTTTATTTTAGATCATGATGCTGTATAAAGTTGTGGGTGGAGTTTGACGTCAATGCTGGGGGACATTACTCCTCTTCTCCCAAAGTCATACATCAGGATTTACATGGGCATTGCCTCTTTTTTGGTAGTCTGCTTTCTGTCCAAGTGGACTTTTCAAATAAGAAGCCATGTCTGGGATGTTTTCTTGGGGAGCAGACACAGGAGTTCAGAAAAACCTAACCCCAAATCCTGATTGATCCTTCCCTGCAGCTACCAGATCACACACAGCCTGGTCTGCCAAGTCAGCACAGTGGCAAATGCTCTCTTGCAGGACTGTCTTCTCCATGGTGGCATGTTAGAGCCCAGCCAGGAGGGGTGGCCAGGCTCACCACTCTGGGGAGAGGGAGAGGTTCTCAGGGTGGATTTGATTGCCAAAATGGCACTACATCCTGGGCCTGCAGCAGCCTACATGACAGAAAGTGCAACACTGACCCCCACCTGGAATGTGAGGCTGCTGCAGGCAGAGGATGCAGATCCACAAACTTCAATGAGATTTGAATCTGGCTGTGTGTGTGTGTGTGTGTGTGTGTGTGTGTGTGTGTGTGTGTGTGTGTGTATACACACTATAAGGATGACTTGTGCAGTATATTAATGAGTCCTATTCAGAAGTGAGTAGTTGATCCAATTATGGTCCCTACCTTAATCTACATGTTCTCTGTGGTGCTGTTTTAAGTGGGATTATTTGTGTGTAATGTTAAGTGTATTGGCAGGAGTTCGCAGAATCGAGTCCTTCAGTTTTTATGGTTTAAACATCTAATCTGCTTCCATTAATGTAAGTGGGAGTTGGATAGGATTTAGAAAGAGGAGAGCTCTTTAACTGAATTAGAATCATCAAGATAACATAGTTTGAAATTTTATTAAGGAACATTGGTGACTAGGGACAAGGTTGTCTATGAATGCAAAGAGATGTTTTAGTTTTCTGGTTCTAGGGGACAGGGGAACAGTTGAGAGAACTGTGTGCATTGAGGAGGTGTTCAGGTGAGAAACACTAACTCTGGGATTTGTGTGAAGTCACAATGTATACATTAGTATCAAAATCTCTAACACATCTTCTGTTTTATTCTATGTCATCTGTATCCCATTGACTCTGAGGAGTAACATCACTTTCAGCCATGGAAAATCACTTTTATCAAAAATAAAGATTCACAAAACTGAGGTGTGTGTGTGTGTGTGTGTGTGTGTGTGTGTGTGTGTGTGTGGGAGAGAGGGCGAGGGGGAGAGAGAGGGGGAGGGGGAGAGATTAGAGCTAATGGAAGGAATCCCACAGCATTTTCAGTTTTCTGCATGAATATTTTTTGTCTGAGTCACTTTAAATCTTTGTCACACATCATATCCCACATTTGGGTTTAGTCAAGTTGAGAAATATTGTCATTTATACTTTATGGCGTGACACCATCCAAACAACAGTACACCATAAGTTATGCAGCTAAATGAAGTTATAATGGAGATGTATTGGCTACTTTACAGTATATCTAATTTTGATGTAATTTAGATGGCATCTTCATTACTATTTAAATTATATTAATGAGTTTGGGACTATTACAGCAAATTTAGTCTCTCTCCATAGATATGTTACTGAAAAAGAGATAAGACGGAGGAGGCATTTGCTGAAGAGCATGGTAGAATAAAATATATGATGTTATATCTGATGAGCTCAATTCCACTTTAGCTACTTTAGTGGATAAGGTTTAAGGGTGATACCAGGACTTGAATGCTCTTAGAAAGAGACCTCCTACCAAAGCAAACTCTCTTCGTTGCATTCAAGAGTACTGGGAGAGAGAAAGTTTTATAACACTTCTGCCCACACAGCATTGTGAATCAGTCCAAATTGCTATTCTGTTACATTTCTATTAGGGACGTTAAAACAACTTAATGCTTAGCTGTTTTAACCTAGGTCCTTCCTTCTGGCCGTGCTGTGGCCATCGGGTACTGCCACTGCCATGGAGTCCTGCCACCTAACCCACCGGCTGCTCCGCATTCAATGCTGTGCCAACACAGCACAGCTAGCTGCTGCTGGAGTTAACTGGAAGAGCTGGTTAACCAGTTAACTGCTAAGCATACCGGTAAGCCTCATACTTACCAATAGGCTTATTGGTTAACTAGTTAACATCCCTAACATCTATCATACAGGCAATGTTCTGGAGACCTTCAGTCAGTTTGTGTACCTTTTGTAATCATCTGTAAAAATTAGCTGGGAAATTGTGCGTGTTCAAAGGAACAGCAAAAACAAGTGTCATGAAATGACCCATAGCCCCACCATTAGAAACTAGCAAATTTTCTGTAGCACAGGAATAACTGGCCTGAATCAATGGTTATAACCTATTTAGGAAGGATGAAGTGGGCAAAAAGGGAGGAAAAGTGGCATTCACTGTCAAAAATGACATTACTTATATATTTGGCACTGGTCTGATTGTTGCTGCAATATTGTGTCAAGCTCTGTTGTCCACAGTTCAGAAAAAATATTGGTAAATTGCCTAGGGTTAAGAGAAGAACCATGAGAATGATTAAAGGATTAGAAAACATACTGAATAGTGATAGATATAAGGAGCTCAATCGATTTCCCTAAACAAAAAGAAGGTTAAAGGGATCAGTTGATTACCATCTAAGTACTTACACAGGGAACAAATATTTAATAATGGGATCTTCAGTCTATCAGAGAGAGAGAAGAACATAAAAACGGTCATACTGGGTAAGACCAAAGGTTCATCTAGCCCAGTATCTTGACTGCTGACAGTGGCCAACACCACGTGCCCCAGAGAGGGTGGACCGAAGACAATGATCAAGCGATTTGTTTCCTGCCATCCCTCTCCAGCCTGTGACAAACAGAGGCCAGGGACACCAATTCTATCCCCAGGCAAATAGCCTTTTATGGACCTAACCTCCAGGAAATTATCTAGCTTTAATTTCATTTGGTGTCCTCTATTTAGGGAACTAATAAATAACTTTTCTTTATTGGCCCTCTCCACACCACTCATGATTTTATATATCTCTATCATATCCCCCCTCAGTCTCCTCTTTTCTAAACTGAAAAGTCCCAGTCGCTTTAACCTCTCCTCATATGGGACCCATTCCAAACCCCTAATCATTTTAGTTGCCCTTTTCTGAACCCTTTCCAAGGCCAAAGTATCTTTTTTGAGGAGACCACATCTGTACACAGTATTCAAGATGTGGGCGTACCATAGTTTTATACAGGGGCAGTAAGATATTCTGGGTCTTATTTTCTATCCCTTTCTTAATAATTCCTAGCATCCTATTTGCCTATTTGACTGCCTCTGCACAATGTGTGGAAGTTTTCAGAGATGTGCATTACTTTACACTTATCCACATTAAATTTCATTTGCCATTTTGTTGCCAAGTCACTCAGTTTGGTGAGATCTTTTTGGAGTCCCTCACAGTCTGCTTCTGTCTTGACTATCCTAAACAGTTTGGTATCATCTGCAAACTTTACCACCTCACTGCTTACCCCTTTCTCCAGATCATTTATGAATAAGTTGAAAAGGATTGGTCCCAGGACTGACCCTTGGGGGACACCACTAGTTAACCCTCTCCATTCTGAAAATTTACCATTTATTCCTACCCTTTATTTTCTGTCTTTTAACCAGTTCTCAATCCAATAAAGGACCTTCCCTCTTATCCCATAGCCATGTAATTTACACAACAGCCTTTGGTGAGGGACCTTGTCAAAGGCTTTCTGAAAATCTAAGTATACTATATCTACTGGATCCCCTTGTCTACATGTTTGTTAATCCTTCAAAGAACTCTAATAGATTAGTAAGACAGGATTTCCCTTTGCAGAAACTATGTTGACTTTTGTCCAACAAATTATGTTCTTCTACATGCCTCACAATTTTATTCTTTACTATTGTTTTGACTAATTTGCCCGGTACTGAAGTTAGACGTACCGGTCTGTAATTGCCAGGATCGCCTCTAGAGCCCTTTTTAAATATTGGTGTCACATTGGCTACCTTCCAGTCACTAGGTACGGAAGCCGATTTAAAAGATAGGTTACAAACCACAGATAATAGTTCAACAATTTCCCATTTTAGTTCTTTTAGAACCCTTGGATGAATGCCATCTGGTCCCGGAGATTTGTTAACATTAAGTTTTTCTATTTGTTCCAAAACCTCCTCTAATGACACTTCAATCCGGGACAGGTATAATACAATCCAATGGCTGGAAGGTGAAGCTAGACCAATTCAGACTAGAAATACAGCATAAAAACAGTGAAAATAATTAATAGTGGAACAACTTACCAAAGGTCCTGGTGGATTCCCCATCACGAACTTTTTTAAAATTAAGATTGGATTTTTTAAAAAAAAATATTTTCTAGGAATTATTTGGGAGAAGTTTTATGGCCTATGGTCTAAATAGGAAGTCAGACTAGTTGATCAAAATGGTCCCTTTTGGCCTTTAAATTTATGAAATTGGGTATATCTGCTTCCCTGTACTGTGCTGACAATGTCAGAGTTTAGTATGTCTGTCTATTGAATGCATGTTCTTCTGTAAAAATCAAATAGAGTGGCATGTTTTGCTTCTAGATAAGTTAAAGCAAAGACAAGATTTCCGCACAACTTGGGAGTCATACCACATTCATATTTCAATATAAAGAAAAACATAGATAGTTAGCCTGTAAATTACTGCTGGACTAGCTTGCTAAAAGCATATGATTGAGCCTTCTCGGGGCCTACAAACTCTAACCTCTGACTTGACCTCCTTGAACTGCTTTCTGTGGTTTCTCCATCAATATTCCTTGGCTTCTAAATTCTTCTACGTTGATTATCCCTTTTAAACTTTTTGTTGTAAGATTTGCAATAATGCTTGAAAACCATGTTTTAGAGAAAACACTTTTATTATAGATAAAATATAGTAATCTTCTCCCCTGTATTTTGGTTGAGATAGCAACACAGAGTAAATTACAGTCATTCTTGAGATTCCTTTGCTTGCTAAGCACAAGGGATCAGTTTAACTCTCCTTACTTTCAATTTTTATAGTTTTCTCCATACAATTCTCAGCATATTTTTCTTGTTTGTATAGAAGACCCACTCCAGTACTCAGTAACACACACATTTTCCAAATGGTACTACTGCAGTTTATTATAGTAGGTAAACTATGTGTCTTATATTTCAGAAGTAATGACTTTAAATGCAGTTGCAGATCTAATTTTCTTAATATCCTTTTTTTTTCTTAGTGTCACTGCGTGTCAGTGGAAGTTGACAATACTTAGAACTTTGCACAGACTGATTCTTTATTTGAAAGGAAAACTCCTGTGGTCAGCTATATTAGGGCCAAATCTCTGCCTTCCTCAAAGCCAGAGCATGCACCAAACAGATCAGAATCTTTGGAGTTCCACTGTATGTGGGTAATGAGTAGCAAAGAACTTAAAAGGCCATGCAGGGAGACTCAGGAAGTCTGTGGTTTCTTACTAAGTCAACTTCGTTAGCAACCATCTCATAAGTAGAACAAAACGTAATTTGTGGGTCACCTGGGGAATAGCAGAAAATTGGCACTTTGCAAAACTAAATTCCCAAGTGGTGGTTTTCTGATTGTCAGATCATTTTTAAAAAAAAATGTAATGCATAGTTCAGATAGTTAGGACTACATTTCTAAAATGTAGCTTCCATTTGAACGCATGAATTTTTAGCAGATTGTAGCATGGACATGCACATACCATACTTGACATAAGTTTATGCACAATAACATTGTATATAACTACCTAATTCCACTTCTTATTCAATGGGATTCAGATTCCCTGCCTTTTCTGGACGTATATGGACCCTGATCCTTACACCTGTCCTTCTTCTTTACCAGCTGCAAGTGGAGATGTTATCAACTGTCTTGTTCAACTCAGGCATTTAGAATAGCTGAACTCATTATTCATGTGATTGCCTTTCTTCTGATCCCATCTTTCTGTGTCTGACCTATTATTTCATTCTCTCAGATTCTCTAGCACTTGCGAAATGTGTTTGATCAGTTGGATATTGCAGAAAGTAGTTGGAATGAGGAGCATTTTAAATTATTGACTCAACAACCCAAAATGAATGCAAATTACTATTACAGGAGTTGACACAGCCAGATTTTCTATACAAGAGAGTGTCTTATCTTTGGGAGTCCCCTGGCAGCAGCCTTTTATTCTTAACATTTTGCCTGACAGATTCCAGGGAGCCTTCTTCCAGGACTTAAAAGTAACAGCATGTGTCAGATGAGAAAAATGGAAATACTTTGTATTCATTTTTATTATGCTTAGCCAAGGGGAAAAAAAGCCATACCAGTGCAGACTCTACTAATGTGGTTTTCAGCCGGTGGTCCTCAGACTATGTCTAAGGGTTCTGTGAAAGTTTCCCATTATCATAGAACAGTAGTCTTCAACCTCTGATCTACATCCAAGATTTCCTAAGGGAAGATTTCCGCACCTCTGGGCAAAATGAGAGGATTCAAAATGACCATTCTGTTAAATATACTAATCTGACCAAGCTTGCAATTTCTTAATTTCAGGTATCTGGGGACCTTGTTAGCCGATTGCACCTTGATGCTCACATTTACAAACCAGTGAGGACATATAGCGGTGGCACAAAAAGGAAGCTTTCTACAGCTTTGGCTTTAATTGGCAAACCCCAAATTCTTTTATTGGTGAGTAGAGTAAACATTGTTATTGCTTAGGAAGTGTTAAGATATTTCATTATTTTGTTTTCTTACCTGTCATGTGAAAATGTAGTGCAGCTTCCAAATCATATGTAACGCATAAGCAATGCAATTGTCATCTTCAGATCCCTCAATAAACTTGTTTTACTTTGTGCTTCAGCATTCTCCAGTTGGAACTGGGTTTCCTAGGCTGGCATTGATAAAACTGCAATATTCCTGTTGTGGCTTCAGTATTCATTTTTTAGAGAGATGGAGAACTCTTTGATTCAGAGAACAAAAGAAGTAGAATTTACTGTTCGATATGTTAGAATGCATAGTGTATCTTCTGCCCATATTTATGCACAATCTAAGAAAATCAAAATGCAAAAATAGGATTATACTGGGGTGCTCAGCCCACAAAAGCCCTTGGATGGAGTAAGTTGAGCCAGAAGGGGCTAATGTATCTTGTATGCTGCATTTAAAGGGGAGTCAGGGATTGGTTCCCATTAATTGATCGATGAAGCTCAGTTTATGGTGTAGATGGGGTTGGATTATAAAACCCAAGGAAGGGAGAGTAGGATTTAGCAGGAAAAAGGAGCCTTCAGTCACCCTCTAGAGGGAAATGGAGTCAAAGATAAGGAAGAAGTCCAGGAGGACTGGTCATGGGAAATGGTAACCAGGTTCTCTTGGTTTTGTTCCACATAGTTTTTTTTCCCTACTAGTACTACTAAAGTGACATACATATAAAGCAAGGGCATGTGAAGTGAGGTGAGCACTGACTGCACAAACCATTGATTGTGAGAGCTGTGCACTCCCAATCAAAGCACTGCTGTGATTCAGTCAACACACCCCACAAATAATACGTATGCAAGTGCAGTTAACAAAACTGCCCCATCCCGGGATACAGTCTTCCAGCCCACAGAGATGATGGAAGGCCACTCATGCAGCCCACTTACTGGCTTAGGTTGCCCATCACTGTGCTAGGATTAGAGATGGAACAGATGACTATCTGAGGTGCTGTCTGGACAACCTGTCAGTGTGAATTAAATGGGGAGGGGGGAGAGAGAGTGACTGCGAGTGTGATGGCAGCATAACCAACAAAGGGGCATACTACGGGGCAAAAGCTAATTCCCAGACCTAGCCACAAGGAGGAACCCCTCCAGGGAATGTAGCCCTTTACAAAGATACATAGTTTCACAGGGTATTTAAAGCAATTGAGATTACTTTATTTTAATGATTCTGGTACCAGTAGGAGAGTAAACCATTGAACTGCATTATTTAATGCTTTTATGAGCTGGGTAAAACTTGGCAATAGGGATTGATTGTTGATTCATATGAGCTCACCCTTAGTTAACATTAATGTGAGCATAAGCTTCGCCTAAGAGAAAATAAGTATGTGAGCCTGCCCACCGACTTTAGCCAATTTTGTGAAGAGGGGCAGGGAAAGGAGGGAAGACAGAATACAAAGAAATTGGGAAGGAACAAGAAAGACCGAGAGTTATGTCTAGACTTAAACAGCTGTAGTACTTCGGTGTAGATACTGCCTATGCCAACAGGAGGAGTTCTCCCATGTAGTTAATCCATCTCCATGAGAGTGAGCAACTAGGTGGATAGGAGAATTCTTCTATCAACCTAGCACTGTCTCCAGTGAGGCCCCTGAAAGATGTAGGTATGCATAAGTTCCCAGTATAAACCAGACACACAGAGCAAAAGGGAACAGCTGACATAATAGTGATGGATCCTGGAAGAAATGTTCAGAGAAGTTTTTCGCTGAGCTTGCTGGCTGAAAAGGGCATTCTTGGTTCTATGAGTTTAAAAAAAAAACCACCCCGATTCCTGCTTTTTGTTTTCTTCTGTATTTGGGACACAGGATTTTGTACATTCTTTATAAATAAACTAAACTACATCAAAGAAATACCTGACTCCCGCTAGTGTCTACTACAATCTGATGCATATACAAGAGGGGACTCCAAACTTTGATAAGCCACTCAGATCAAAAGTGGTAATAGTGGCCTTAGCAGCAAGATCCAGTTGCCAAGGGAATGAAATTGTGAGCTGATATTTCTTTTTAACCAAGTTGGAAGAAATAACAACGAATTTTGCAGAAATCGAAAATGGTCAGTGGGATCTGAAACCATCCCAGACACAGGAACTGGAGGATTCATATCAGATGTTAAAACAAGAGTTGTATGTTTCACATAGAGAACTAAAGCAGCACCTGGAGGATTTACAGTATGGACCAAAGACAGACTTGTAAGCAGAGATCAGATCTCTGGAAGCATAGCTACAAAGTGTCCAGACAGGTTGGAAAGACCAATTGCAAAGCTCCAGGAATTTTAATACCCATGTACCTTAAGTTGGTAACGTGGTTCCAGATGGATAGGGAGGAGAGCCCTTCCATAATAGGATTTCCGCCTCGGTATTCCATATTTTTTAAACTACCTATCATTTTATGGAATCTGATAGGTACCCTGAGCAAAAATGTGCTTTTCATAAGCACCTTTAGGAGCCATGGATAAAAGTTACATGTGGCAGGAGGGGTTAAGTAAATATCCAGAGAAACGTGGGTACATTCTCTCTCCTTATACTGAACCCATCATGTGGTATAAGAGTTCAATTAGAGGAAACAATGTCTCATCCAATCCCCCTTTCTTTCCCTGGTGGGGGGATAGTTAAATAAACAAATCTCAGAATCCTACAGAAATACTACTGGGTGGGAGTATACTCCCCAGAGTAAAGGGACAAAACATTAATCCCAAGAGTGTGCCTCCAAAGCGAATACAGAATGGGTTAAATTGCATTAGTGAACTTACCAAACCATGCCTCTGAATCAACATATGTTCTTAAGACCTGAGATACTTTGCTTCCTCTACTTACATTTTTCTTTTTAACTCAAACTGATCTTGGATGATTTGAGGAAAGGGGGAGGTTATTTTCTTAAGTCAATGCTTCTTCTAGTCTCAGAAGTACTCCAACTGTTATGTAATCTCTTTAGGACAATCTGCCACTGCAGGCAGCCATTTCAATTTGTCTCTTGCTGTGAAAGATGCATCCTTACATATATACTATTGAGAGGGGGAAAAACATTTTGAAATAACTTGAATGCTCTAAAAGGCTTATATGTATTCTAAGTGTTTTGCGAAGCATTAGTTATAAAGGATTTTAGGGGGTTATTCATGAAGGATCCATAATTAAGGAACAAAAGTAAAACCATGTAAAGTATTTTCTCTATTAAAGTGCCTCCCTCATGACACCCTGCACTTAGTGAAAGCATTGAAAGGTCTGTCTATAAAAGTGGAGGAGATGGCTTTTCAAGAGTAAGGGCCAAGTGATATCTTCTACTGCCATTAGCAAAAGATATCAAAATTCATCTTATCCAGCAGAGAGGATGCAGAAAGGGGAAGTACAATCTCTGCATCTGCACTTCCTTTCCCACAGAAGCCCTTAATGACTGCTCCAGGAGATTTAGTTTCCACTGCTTCTGGAAGTGTTAGACTATGAAAGGGACAGGTTGGGGGCAATGGTCAGCCCCTGTCACGTTGTCTCCCCTCAGACCTTGAGGGAGACTATGGAACAAGGCAATGCTGGCTAGGTCAGTATGTAATCACATGGTTTCTTCTCCCACACAGATTGGAATGACCCTTGAAAAAAAGACATGGAATAGGGAACCTGGGGCAGGGAAGTTGTGCTCCCACAGAGCTCTAAGGAGCCATGTGCCTATGTGCAAGGGAGACAGTATGGAGATATAGGGCATCTCATTTGCTGTTCCATGCCTCTGGCAGACTTACAAATTCTAGGCAGCGAGGAGGAGAAAACACTGTACTCCTACCAAACCGAAATTATGCTAATCCCAAATCAGAGTGCTACCTTGCCCCTGCAGACAGACCATGCGAGTAACATTAAGCCCTGCATCCTCATCAAATTCTTTCTCTGTCTCCTCTACTCCCATTGTTAACTGATGTGTTTGTTTCTGTAGGATGAGCCCAGCACTGGAATGGATCCCTGTTCCAAGCGGTACCTCTGGAAAGCCATCTTGAAGGAGGTCCAGGATGGCAGTGCTGCTGTGCTGACATCCCACAGGTGCAATATTATCACATTGGCCAACACCGTGGCTGTGTCTACACTGGCACCCTTTTCCGTAAAAGGGATGCTAATGAGACGCTTTGGAATTGCAAATTCCGCGGGGGATTTAAATATCCCTCGCGGCATTTGCATGAACATGGCTGCCGCTTTTTTCCGGCTCAGGGTTTTGCTGGAGAAAAGCGCCAGTCCAGACGGGATCTTGCGGAAAGTAAGCCATTTTCCGGAAGATCCCTTTCAAGTAGGAATAAGGGATCTTCCGGAAAAGGGCTTATTTTCCGCAAGATCCCGTCTAGACTGGCGCTTTTCTCCGGCAAAAACCCCGAGCCGGAAAAAAGCTGTAGCTTTTTAAATGCAAATGCCGCGGAGGTCTCCTTTCCTCTGAAAGAGAGAAGCTGATATTTGTGTTCAGGATTAACCATGTTCAGGTCTCTTGCTTTATTATGGCAATTCCTCTCAGCCGTGAAACCTGAATTGGCCTAAATGTTAGTGTTAAGGGCTATGCTATATTTTGATGGGTATTCTGAGAGAGGGAGGAGATAATGGCCCTTCCACCTCCCTTGCTATCCCCATACAAGAATCAGCTAATGCTATTTGACTCTGATGAAGTGGGTTTTACCCACAGTGGCTCATGCTCTGATAAATATGTTAGTTTCTAAGGTGCCACAGGACTCCTCATTGGTTTTACTGCAATCCCTATGTTCCCTGGGGGTACTAGGACTATGCCTTTTAAAACTCTGTCTATGCCATCCCCTAAGAGACTTGCAGTCACCAGAGGGGACAAGGAGGAGAGATCCAAAGCTATTTCTCTTCTCTAAACTGACTGGAGATGGTGGTTGGCCTCAAAGTGGGGAAGCATGTTACCCCAACATAAAGGATGCTCCAGTATCAGGATTTAAATTCAGCCAGCGTTCTTCAGGGCACAGCTCCCATGAATATTTTCAAACCCCCAGGAAAAGGAGCCCTACCACACCTTTTAGGGCTGGAGCCCCATGCATCTGGACTTCTGGAAATACCCTATGAGAAATTAAGCCATCTCCAGTATACACCATCTATCTGAGCTTCCTGTACTGGATATGACTATACCCCAGTGGGAGATGGTGCCTCTTTACAATGCCCAACATGGCACAAAACATCTTGTGAATGCTTTCCATTTTGTCAGTTTAATGTAGGAGACATTGAAAATGTTTTGTAGCATCTATGGTAACGTGAATAAATTGCATGTTCCCTGCAGGGCATGCTGTATAGTAAGCATAATTATATATAAATGGCTTAAATTGAGGGAGCAATCTGATTTGCTGATAGACATCCCTATCTGTATAATTATGAAAAATGCCTAGAAGGGGCAGAACTAATTAATCAAAACACTGAATTAATGTTTTGACCAAATTAAATCCTGAATTAGTAAATGAATCAATAAAATTCCACAACAGAAGATTTGTTAGATATTTTAAATGAAAGTTGTGTTAGATGTGTTCAGGACATGTTTTCTCTCTCTGATTGTTCACTGTGCAAATGCTTGAGGCCCACAGAAAATGTATTTCAAAGTTGTTTTGGTATTCATCTAAACAGACTCTTTAAATTCACATACATGAATGTTTGTATTCAAATTGCTAGCCTGTTCATCCAGCTAGGGAACAGAAAAATGTGATTTAAGTAAGTAGTCACGGGTAACCAACACATCTTGTTCTTCAAACCACAAAATAAAACAATCATTTTCAAACAGCAAACAAACCGAAGATAATAGTGATCAGCTCATAGATATGGAGTAAGCAGGAAAAGAAAACACATTCATCAAATAAATTACTCCACGAATGAATGATTCTAAGCAAGAGTAGTAATAATTAACAATAGTTTCATACAAAGATTACATTTCTAATTCATACCACATTGATATGACTGGTCGCATGTGGGCAAAATTTTATATTGGAGACCAGATTTTCAAAGGACTCCTTAATTGGGAAATGCTTTTGTGCCTATAAATGCAGTTTTTTGTGCACCATCCCATGTACATATAAAATATATAGGTGCTTTTTAAAGGCTCCTCTGAAAATTTAGTCTCTGAAGTTAATGCACTTAATAGCTCCCACATGGCTGTTTTGGGGGTAGTATCAATTGGCAACAACCTAGGGAAATATTGAGGCATTATATGCCTCTTGGAGCTAGCTTCCCATTTCTGCTGTGGGGAGAGCTATCTGCAAATCATCTTTAAGGGCAGTAACATACTCCCCACATATAAGAGGGACAGAGCTATGCTCTGCTTAATCTTATATATCCCTGCCCAGTGCCTCTTTTTTTTTTAGTGAATTGCCCCTAGGGAAGTAAGTCAACAGTCCTTTCCCATGTGTAATGGCTGTAATTCTGGTCTGTTCGTATGTCCATCAAACAAGGATAGGGAGTGATTCTTTGTTCTCCTACCCTGCAAAGCTATGTAAATAAAGTGGAAGCCACAGTCTGGGTCACAGTGAACTACAACTACATCTAACTAGCTGCTTGCACCCACATATGTTATGAAAACCGCTCACTACTGAGTTGGGTGTCACCAGTGAATTGCAGACACCTTTGTTCTCAAGAACAGTATTATGCCTGCACAGATGGAATGTCTATCGAGGCTCCACTGAAAATCAGACTCTCACACACCCCCACAGGAAGTTGGTTTTGGAAATGTACCATTGGAATGCGCAATTATGTGAAATGTATTATTGTGCTCATGAATTACTTAATTTATCTATGCTTTGCAAGAATTATTCAGTTTCATACTAAATATATGAGGGTATCATTTTTGCTCTACTATTGGTAAGTTACGGTAATTCATTATTATTTAAAGCATTCAAATACAGCATGGTGCATCATTTTTGAACATTGGGGCTGTATCCTGAATTAATTTTTGTTTGAGTCATGTTGAGTCTCTGTTGCCCATACTTATACTAAGTAATATTTCACTTCACAAGGACTAGCACAATGCAAAAGAAGCCCTGTAGTTTTACCACTCTGTCATGCCAAATGTTACAACCCTAATTTGGAGTGACCTCCAGTAGGCATGTTAGAGAATATTGTGCCAATAGCCCAGTCCTTAGCATCTCTGCTAAGACTGCCAATAAGGTAGTTAATTAGTGCCTGCAGTAGTATGGCTTTTGTAACGTAGCCAAAATCATCCAGTTAGAAACAGACTGAAAACATGAATTCATTTTTATAGGACTCCACCAGATGTCATGTGGTAATAGCTTTTGGTCTCTACTGACTAGTGATGTATTTGAACCATTGACCTAGAAGTGAAAGGTTCTGAATTGCGTCTTCTCTGCCATCCAGATTTCTTCAAATTTTAATTAAATTTAGTCATAAATTACTTTCATCTCCTAATTATTGTTTTTTTTTATCATTTTTCCTCTAGCATGGAAGAGTGTGAAGCCCTCTGCACTCGGCTGGCTATTATGGTCAATGGTAGTTTCAGGTGTCTTGGTTCTCCCCAGCATATTAAAAACAGGTATTACATGTTGACATCTAACCTACTGCTGCTAAATTCATTCAAAGATTTAGCTGGGCATTTTAGTAGTGCCAATAGAGTATAAATACTTACAACTGCAGAACAATTTCTCCTTACCTACCATTACTCAAGTTAAATGCTTTTATTTTAAGATACCTTAGCAAACTGAATGGATGTATGACATTGGTAAAATACTGCACTGTATTTGAAAGACAAAAATTGTATCTAAATCCAGTTCCCACTGCACCCAACATGAGAATTGGATTATCCGTAATTTGACACACTGCTGAATTCATAAAAAAGCCTTAAGTTCATCACATGCTTCTCTGAACATAGAAATAAGCATGTACCAGAACAGGAGGCACTAAAGAAATGCTTTCTGGGCTCTCAAATTAGTTGTCCCTCTCACCAAATAACCTATTGAGCTGACTTCAGTGATAATTGTATCTCTCAGAATCAGGCTCTCTATTCATAAATAATAATGTTCCTCTCTTTTCTTTTCATGGACTGAGCACTCTCAATGTAGCTTTATCTGTACTCTGAAGTCAAATGTGATCCATAGAATTTGGTGTTTTATAAAGAGGACAAGTGCACATTACTACCAGGAAAACAAGGAAAGAAGTAGTGGGTTTAACTTCAGCATTGAACATTTAGGTTAAATATTAGAACAAACGTTGTGGGACAGATTGTCAGCTGATGTAAATGAATGTAATTCTATTGGAGTCACTGTAGCTATGCTAACTTATGCTAGCTGAACATCTGGCTTTATAATAATTTAATAATATTAACAAGCTCTAAAAGGAAATTTTGGGATCACCATCACTGGAGATATCCAGGTGTAAAATAGATATGTGACTGGGAGCAGTAAAACCTAGGCAAGGGGATAAACTAGGTGATACACCAGAAGTTATTCCCAATCCTAATGATTTCAGGATGCTCACACATCAATCAGCTGCATGGGCATCTTTCAGTTTCTCCAAAACAGGATTCCAGTAGAACATAGTCATGAAAGAGTGAGTGTCTGACACACATTCATAGTAATTATTCTTGTAAAACTAATTTTTCATAAGTGGGAAACATAGTATACCGGTCATATTTTACATTATCAGCAGATTCACATTCCTTCTATGTACCATGTCAGTTCTTTAAATAACTGAATCTTAATAGCATGCGTGTGGGATTTTGTGTTATGTGCACTGGTTATAAATATCAATAAGATATCCATAGTGAGCCCATAGTTACAGCTGCCTGAGATTTTCACATAAAGCAAAATTAAAATCCCCTTTTGCTCAAATTCAGTGTTTGAATTTAGACTGCAAATTTACCATTCTTGTTCAGAGAGCTATTGAATTTCCTACCCTATTGGGGGTGGGGGAAGGGCAGGAAAAGGGAAATAGCCATTAATTTTTTTAGAGGAATCAATTAATATCAACCAGTTCTGAAAATTAGTGCAAATAATCCCACTTGCCTTTAGCTTCTTGTAGCTAAGCCACCATTGCCACTCCTAATTCAGAACCTTACACACAAGCATCCAGTAAAATGACATGTTGGGCAAAGTAAAAATTTAAATGCAGTAGAAATTATTCTCCTTATTCATCTTAATACAGCAGGTGTGTCCAAAGGGAAGCCAATGAGAATCGCACTGTCAGCCATGAATTTCCATTCACAGGAGCTTCCTTGCTGTCCAGGCTTCCTCATTAGTTCCCCAACACCACTTCAGACAGATATCCCCATCCAGCTCCTGACTCCAATTTCTTTATTCCGCTATATTGTAACCTCTGTAACATCCCAGGTTCCCACAGACTTGGTACTGTGTGCTGGAGTGTCACTCTTCTCTATTTCACAGCTCACTGACTGATTGATTGAGTTTCGTCTCCAGATATTTACCACAATTACCCTCCAGAGAACTATTACATTGTGGTGGAAAAAAGAGCTACTAACTGGCCTAGAGAAATCAATTCAAATCATCTTGCTTTGAAACTTAGCTTTTTCCGTTACACTTTTTGCTTGCACCCTGCTCAGCACTACTGATGTGCATGACCACAGCAAGCAGTCACAGCCAACCTCGGGAGCTCTCCTTACCTTCCCTCCTCCTTGCTGCTCTTTAGAGTTCATTCATTACTCTCTCTTTTTCCCAGCCTCCCTCTCTGCCCCCTTTCGGCCTTACTAATCACATTTCCCTGTCAAAACTTTGTAACCCATAATGCAATACAATTTATATTCAGCATCTCCTGTTTTCCTGGCCTCCTAAATGCCCACTTGCTAAATGTAAAGGGAAGTAGATTGAGGAAGGAAATAGCAATCACTCTTGGGGCTCATCTAGACTATGCTAGAGTGTCAAAAGAGGATATGTAAATTCTGATCTCACTTGTGAAAGTGGAGCTTTCAAAAGTGAAAGTAGTTTACACGTTTGAGAAAGAGCGGCTTTTCGACAAGGGCAGGGGGGGCTTGCCAAAAAAGTCACGTATAAACTACTTTCACTTTCGCAAGTGAGATCAGAATTTACATATCCTCTTTTGACACTCTAGCATAGTCTAGATGAGCCCTTGCTGTCTACTGCCTGCTTCACTCACCACTTCCTGCTGCCTTCCCCACATTTCCATGCCCCCTACTTATCATTCTCTAGTGCCACTTGTTGCTCTTATATTCTACCAAACAGTATCCACTGGCACTGTAAGGGTCGTCTACCCAGCAACATTATTTCGAAATAACTAGTGTTATTTCCAAATAATTTAGTCCCATCTACACCGCCAGCAGTTATCTCAAAATAACTTCGAAATACTATCAAGCTGGAGACTTCTTACTCCAATTCCTGTAACCCGCATTGTACGAAGAGTAAAGGAAATCAGAGGAAGAGTGCTCTATTTCTAAATAAGTGCTGTGTAGACACTCCCAATTTCAAAATAAGCTGTTTTGACTTAAGCTACACAATTAGTGTAGCTCAATTTGCATCACTTATATCGAGTTAAGCCCTGCTATGTAGATGTAGACTAATACTTTGTAAAAGTGAAGAAAAAAGTAAGCTTTCAGTTAAGATGACACAAGTGAAGAGAGGTAGTAGAACTTAATTCAATCAATTAAGGCAACATTAGCATCTAGATGGACGTGATTTAACCATCTGTACTGCCTAAATGTAACTCCCATCTACAACATAATCCCCCTTCCACTTCCAAGTAAAAATGCACAACCTTAACTCTGACTTCAGCATGATGAAAGTATGCTATTGATAGATTATGCCTTTATTTGAAAAGGTCATTGTTATCATCACACTGAGGCTAGAGTTATGATTATATGTTTCAGTGTGACTTTGAGGAATGTAATATGTGTTCTCTGTGTGGTATGTGCTGAAATTGAAAACGTATTTGTAGCGGAGGTGAGGAATCCCATTCTATTTGAGTGGTAGAGTGTATTGTGTTTAAGCATAATATTAATTGATTGCCTTAGTGATTAATTATGTAGTGCTGGGGGAATTCTGCAGTTGTTTCATTTGGAGCCATAGTAAAATTGCAGAATTCCTCTCAGGCTGATTATGCTAAAAGGAAATTCATACGACCCACATAAATTGCAAATTAACAGAGTTTTTGTTGTGTGTTGCTCTTATAGGTTACACTTTTATTTATATTTCATTTTTAAGCAGGTGTTCTGCTGAAAGGTAATTCAGTTAAACCATATTAATTGTACATTAAAACATAAGAATGGCTATACTGACCAATAGTCAGACCAACCCACTGACAATGGGCAATACCAGATTCTTCTGAGGGAATGAGCGTAACAACAGTTTGTTCATTGGTCCATCACCTGTCATCAAGTCCCAGCTTCTGATAGTTCAGGAACACCCAGAACCATCATCTCTGACTATCTTTGCTAATAATCACTGATGGATCTATCTTCATACACTTAACTAATTCTTTTTTGTTACTCGTTATACTTTTTGGCCATCACAACATTGTCTGCCAATGAGATCCATGGATCAACTGGGCAGTATGTGAAGAAATACTTCCCTATGTTTGTTTTGAACCTGTTGCCTATTAATTTCATTTGGTGACATCTAGTTCTTGTGTTATGTGATTGGGTAAATAACACTTACTTATTTACTGTCTCCATACTATTTGCAGTTTTGTAGACATCTACCATATCCCCCCTTTTCTATTTTCCAATTTGAATGGTTCCCATCTTTCTAATATCTCCTCATGCAGAAGCTTTTCTATTCTCCCTAATATTTTTTGTTGGCCTTCTCCATACCTGATCTAATTGTAACATATCTTTTTTGAGATGGGTTGACCAGCATGCAGTAGTCAATGCTTGGGTGTACCAGGGATTTATATTTGTGGCATTATGATATTTTCTGCCTTATTATCTCTCCTTTTCCTAATAGTTTCTAACATCTGTCAGCATTTTTGATTGCTGCTGCTCTTTGAGCAAATGTTTTTAAAGAACTATCCACAGTGATTCCAAGATCTTTCTTGAGAGACAACAGCTAATTTAGAAGCCATCATTTTCTATGTATAATTGGGATTATGTTTTCCAGTGTGGGTGTCATTTATATTTATCCACACTGAATTTCATCAGCCAGTTTGTTGCCCAGTCACCCTGTTTTGAAAGATCACTTTGTAATTCTTTGGACTTAACTATCTTGAATAATTTTGTATCATCTTCAGGTTTTGTCAGCACTTTACTGCCTTTTACTGCATATGTTGAACAGTTATGGTCTTAGTACAGATCCCTGGGTCATCCTACTATTTACCCCTCTCCGTTGTGAACACCGAGCGTTTATTCCTACCCTTTGTTTCCTATATTTTAATCAGTTACTGATCCAACAAAGGACCTTCCCTCTTATCTCGTGGCTGCTTATTCACTTAAAAGACTTTGATGAGGGACCTTCTCATTTAACATTTTATGTTGGTTGTACTACTGTTGCGCATATTGTTATTTTTACATTTTGTTTTTAACAAATTCTTTATTTTTGTAATTCTTTCTATACATTATATGGAATAAATATT